CTTTCCCTATTGTATCTCGTGACATTTGTCCTGTCTGCCCCTTCCTCTCCCCATGGGTGACCGTGTCTGTCCCCTGTGACCTCCCACCCTCCTTGCACCCCCTGTCCTGGTACGCTGGCAGAGTACAACGCCAAGCTCAGGGACCTCAACAAGAGCACCAAAGCCCCCCGTCCTTCTCTGAACCAGCAACGGTCCTTCTCCTTCTCCGGTTCGTTCATTCCACCTTGCTCCTTCCTTGTCCTCCAGCCTTCCCCATCCATCCTTCTCCTTCCCTCTCCTGTATTCTTCCATCTCATCCTTCCTTCCTTTTCCCTTCTTCTCTCTCCTCCCTCTTTCGCCCTTGTCCCTCCTTCCTCCCCTATCCCTGCATGCTGAGTGCTCCGTGTGTTGCATGGATGTGGGATGGAGGGAGGCTCGGGAGACCCTCCCCATACAGGCTTGATCCACTTTCTCAGCAGGGCGATGCTCAGGACCCCCCTCGACCTCCTCCGACGATGGGGGAGCCCCTGGTCCTGGGTACAGACTCCCCCGCTTGGTTTTGCATCTTATCGATGCCTGGCACTGCTCTCTGGTGGGATTTCATTGCTGGACCAGATCCAGCCCCTCGCTCCAACCCCTCTGAGCTTTGCCCTGGCCGTGGCTTACCCCTCAGGGAGGCGAAGGCTGGGGAGCAGCTCCACAGACCCCCAGCTTCAGCCAGTTCCCGGCCCGGCAGGGTCTCCCCTGCCTCGGGTTTCCCTCATGGGCCATCTGCATTTGGGGGGTGGGTGAGGGACGGCCGCTGGCTGTGCTCATTTTGGGGTGAAATGTGGACGGCCACATGAGTGATGTGCCCAGGAGGAGGGGAGCAGTAGACCTATCTGTGGCCGGTGCGACGGGGCGAGTTGGGCTCTGGTGGAGAGCGATACAGGGCAACGTCCGCTGCTGTTCTTTGTGCAGGGATGGACTGAGTTTGTATCTCTCTGCTGGGCATCGTGGTCCCTGTCTGGTGTTAACTGCTGGGTGCCGCATCCTGAGGGTCATGAGGTGCTGCTCTGCCCTCTTCTCTCTGCCGTGGGGGCATCGCTCTGCTCTTGCCTGGCAGTAGCTCCAGCATCTCGTGCCCAAAAAGCAGCTGCCTCCTGATTTGGCCCAGCAACCCGGCTCCCCAGCCGCAAAACCACCTGGGTTTAAATCCCCCTTGTTTCCTTCTCCTCCGGCTGTTGTGCTCCTGCCCTTCCCCAGCCCTAGAGCTGTGTTTAGTCCAAGGGCAGGACTTTGCTGGGAGAGGGTTGCTGCCAGGTTAGGGAGTTAAATGGACAGCAGAGGAGGTGGCAGTGCCAGAGTGATGAGGGGCAAGAGTGGGGAGTGGGTTGCAGGCTGCTGTTCCCCCTTTCAACTGTGATGGGGAACCCCAGCTCCTGCGCTGGGCAGGGCATCCTTGGGGAGCTGGTGGTGAGGCCATGGCTAAGGGAGGCTGTACCTCTGCTGAGGGGGGCACAGCGAGCGGGGGAAAGGAGAGTTTGTTTTTCAAGCGTAGTTTCCAGCCCATAAATCACCCGGGGGGTCGGGGGAGCTGTGCTCAGAGCCTGGGCTGCCTCCAGGCTCTGCTCCGGGCAGCCCATGAAGTTTCCCACTCTCGGCTCCCGAACAATGAGTCCCTTTTTTCCCCTCTCCTCCTTCTCCTCCCCGCAGCCCCGGCTGCTTTCCATGTCTGGGGAGCGGAACAGCCAAAGCCTGGTGAGCTCCTGGGTGTCCCGACGGGCCAGATCCAGCACCCAGCAGCTGGGTGACACGCACCCTTGGGGATGGAGCAGGGGGGTCCCCACGCTGTGGATGTGTGATGTGCACTGACAGCCGGGCTCCGGCGAGCTGCTGTTTGTGCTTCCCAAATGAGAAATATGAAGCGAGGCAGGCGTGTGTGACTCGGGGAGCCTGGTCCCTGCCTCTCTGCAGCGCTCGGCTGCTGCAGCTCGCTTTGGGAAGGGCCAAGGGATGCTCCTGGTGATGCTTTTGCAGCGTGCAGGACGCGTCACAGCGCACGAAGTGGAGGAGTGAAAATAAAGATAAGGGTCTGCTTTATTTTTCCTCCCCTGTTTTGTTTCTCCCTATGCTCACAACTCAGGGCTTTGGTCCCTTAAAGAAGGGAGCAGGGAAAAAGATACAGGGTGTCCCTATACGATGCTGTCCATGGCCGATGTGCCTGCAAGGCAACTTTCCGGAGACCCTCTCTGTCCCCCTGTCCCCTCCACAGGCCATTCTAATGGCTGTCCCCTGTGTCGTCGAGCACCTGCAGAAGGGATCGGGGAGTTGTGTTTCAAAGCCGCTCTGAGTGGAATTTTCCAGGACGCCTCCTCGGCTGGAGCCAGCCCCGTTGGCTCGCGTCCGCCGCCTCGCAGCCCCGAC